TATCTAGGGCCCCAAAGAAGGAGGGGTCAATTTTGGAGGGTGAAGTAAGAAACATTCCCCAGAGGAGAGAGTGTTTGAAGATGAGAGGGCAGAGAGGCCATTCCTGAAAGAGAAGGCTGTGGGAGAAAAGGCACAGAGACAAAGGAAGCATGAAGTAGCTAAGAGCGCTGAAGACACTGCAGGCAATTTGGTAGCTGGGGCCTAATATGCAAGGGGAATGCTGTAAGAGAAAGAGGTACACCAACGCCAGGTCATGAAAGGTTTACTTGCTGTAATCGGAGATTGGGACTTGATCCTGAGGACACTGGGGGATTTTAAGCAGAGGACTGCCATGATCAGCTTTGGTGTTGGAAAAAATTCTCTCCAGTGGATAGTGCAGTGAGCAAGACAGAACTGGAGGAAAGCAATCATGAGCCTGTCACAGTAGCCAGACAAGGATGATAAGGGCTTGAGCTGGTGCAGTTCACTGCTTCTAACCTTCTCCATAGCACTTCGTCTCTGAAAGGTCCGGGTCACCAATGGAATATGAGGGCTTTCTCATTTTGACACAGCAGAGCATATTTCTGTCATCTTCTGAATAAAATATGGCTCTAACTTCTGACATTAACCAGGGAAAAATAAGACTGAGGTAGGTCTGGGAAGGAGGCCTCACCATCACAGGAAGAGTTTAGTAAATGCTGAGTCCCTATGACCTTGGTGATGCTAAGGCCACAGAGGAATGGGAAGTTGTAACTGAAAACTGAATTTATGATGGTTTCTAAGAACGGAGTGTCCATTTGCTTTATTGAGATATAATTTACACACCTTAAAATTCACCCTTTTAGAGTATACTGTTCACTGGCTTTTAGTATATTCACAGAGTTGTACAGCCATCACCATTATCTAATTCCAGACCGTTTTCATCATCCCAAAAAGAAACTCATTAGCAGTCACTCCCCATTCTCACCTCCACTTAGCCCCTGGCAACCACTCATCTACATTCTGTCTCAATGAAATTGTCTATTCTGGACATTTCACATAAGTGGAGTAATACACTATGTGGCCTTTTGTGTCTTCCTTCTTTCACTTAGCATATTTTCAAGGTTCGTCCAAGTCATAGCATGTATCAGTACTTCATTCCGTTTTATGGCTGAATAATACTGCATTATATGGCTATACTGTTTTATGTATCCATTAATCAGTTGATGGACATTTGGGTTGTTTCCATAGTTCAGCTATTATGAATTATACTGCAATGAACATTCATGTACAAGTTTCTGTGAAGACATATATTTTAACTTCTCTTACATATATACCTAGGAATTGAATTGCTGGGTCATATGGCAACTCTATGCTTAACTTTTTGAGGAACTGCCAAACTTTTCCAAAGTGGCTATACAATGTTACAATCCCCTTCGTAATGAATGAGCGTTCCAGTGTCTCCACATCCTTACACACTTGTTAATTGTCTGTCTTTTTTATTTTAGCCATCCTATTGTTGTTGTTATGTACCGAGTCAATTTCAATTCATAGCGACCCCATATGACAGAGTAGAACTGCCCTGTAAGGTTTTCTAGGCTGTAATCTTTATGGGAGCAGACCACCAGATCTTTCTCCCACTGAGACAATGGGTGGGTTTGAACCATGAGCCTTTCAGTTATCAGCCGAGCACTTAACCATTAGCCATTCTAGTGAGTGTAAAGTGGTATCTCATTGTGGTTTTGATTTACATTTCCCTAATGGTTGACATTGTGCATCTTTTCATGTGCATATTGGCAGAATAATACTCCATTTTCCTTATGTGTATATACCACATTTTGTTTATCCATTCTTCTGTTGACGTTGTTGATTTGGGGTGTTTCCACCTTTTGGCTATTGTGAATAATGCTACAGTGAACATTGTTGTACAAATATCTGAGTCCCTGCTTTTAAGTCTTTTGGGTATGTTCCTAGGAGTGGAATTGTTATATCATATGGTGACTTTTTGAGGAATTGCCAAACTATTTTCCACAGTGGCTGCACCATTTTACATTCCCACCAGCAATGTACAAGTGTTCCAATCTCTCTACATCTTCTCCAGCACTTGTTATTTTCAGTTTTTCTGATAATAGCCGTTTTTCTGATAATGAGTGTGAAGTGATATCTCATTGTAGTTTTGATTTGCATTTCCGTAATGACACTGAGCATCTTTTCATGTACTTACTGGCCATTTGTACATGTTCTTTGGAAAAATGTCTGTTCGAGTCCTTTGCCCATTTTTTAATTGGGTTGCTTATCTTTTTGTTGTTAATTTATTCTTTTTGATGATATTGTAAATGCAGTTATTAGTTTCAATTTTGGATTGTTCATTACTAATGTATAGAAATAAAATTTATTTTTTATATTGTCTTCTATCCTGTAACTTTGCTGAACTAGATATTAGTTCTGATAGTTGGGTTTTTGTTTTTTGGTTTGTTTGTTTGTTTTTGTGGATTCATTAGGATTTTCTGTGTATAAGATTACTTTATCTGTGAATTGTTGTTGTTGTTAGTTGCTGTGGAGTTGATTACGACTCATGGCAACCCCCTGTGTGCAGAGTAGAACTGCTCCATAGGGTTTTCAAGGCTGTGACCTTCCAGAAGCAGATTGCCAGGCCTGTCTTTTGAATTGCCTCTGGGTGGGTTCAAACTGCCAACCTTTTAGATAGTAGTCGAGCACTTAACTGCTTATGCCACCGAGGGACCCATTTCTACATATGAAATTAGATCATCTGTGAATAGTGATAGTTTTACTTCTTACTTTCCAATCTGGATGCTTTTATTTCTTTTTCTTCCCTAATTGCCCTGGCTAGAACCTCTAGTACAATGTAGAATAGAAGTGGTGAAAACTTCTCTTGTGTCTGATCTTAAGGGGGAAATTTCCAGTCTTTTACCATTAAGTATGATGTTACTTCTTGGTTTTTTTGTAGATGCTCTTTATCAGATTGAGGTGGTTCCCTTCTATTCCTAGTTTATTGAGTGTTTTTATCATGAAAGGGTACTGGATTTTGTCAAATGCTTTCTCTGCATCTATTGAGATGATCGTGTGTTTTTTTTTTTGTTTGTTGTTTGTTTTCCTTTATTAATATGGTATGTATTACACTGATTGATTTTCAGATGTTAAACCAACCTTGCATTCCTAGGATAAATCCCACTTGGTCATGGTGTATAGTCCTTTTTAAATATTCCTAGATTCAGTTTGCTAGTATATTCTGAGGATATTCAAAAGGGATATTAGTCTTTGCTGGGTTTGGCATCTGGATAATATTGACCTCATAGAATGAAATGGGAAGTGTTCCCCCCTCCTCTCATTTGGAAGAGGCTGTGAAAGATTGATACTAATTCTTGTTTATACATTGGTAGAATTCACCAGTAAACCCATCTGGTCCTGGGTTTTACTTTGTAGGAAGTGTTTAGATTACTAATTCAATCTTTTTTCCTTGTTATAGATACATATACAATTTTAACACTTTTTCTCTTTCAGCCCTAAATGTTTATTCCTTCAGTCTTTTAAGAAATATTTATTGAGCATCGATTATATCCAGGCCCTGTTCTTGGCACAAGAGGATACAACAATGAATAAAACAAAAGTCCTAGCCCTCTTAGCATTCTCATCTTCTTTCTCTCACTTTCACGCTCTTCCTATGTATATTTTTGTTTATATTTAATACAGCTCTATGCATTGTAAAAATATTGCTACATGTGTTTGGTGGAGAAAGGAGGCCGTTAGGTTTGCTGTATATGTTGTCACAGTTTGTAAAAACTCTTAGGTATTCCTGAGGATGGTTGTATGCATAGGAAATGGAATATATTATTATCATTACAATCACAGTTTATATTGGTGCTTACCCTTGGCATTACTACAAGGACGTGACTTTTAACAAACCATTCCTCTATTCATTATCCCACTGAGGACCTCCCGTGTCATCCACTCTATCTGATCATCAGTAAGAACATTATGCTGTTAACTCAGATATTGAATGGAGGCCTCATTTTAACAGCATGAATAATTTTAATAGCTGTTATAAAAACTTCATGGTATATTTCTATATCTTTAAAAAATAATGTCCACTCCCAATTGTACAGTAAGCTTAAAGGTATCATTGAACACATGCAATTGTGTTTTATATTCTTCTAAGCATAAATCGGGAAAGTAAGCAGAGATGGCTAGTATTTTAACTAGGGCTTTTAAAAGATGGTCCAGATTTCGAAAGTAGCATCTCTCAAGTCATATCTGATATGCCCTAAAAAATAAAATAGAGTTACATAAGAGTTTGTGAATGTCTGTTTGAAACAGCGACTGACTGTTCATATACACTGTTTCCTTACCACAATCACAGAAATCTTACACATAGACCAGTTTAAGCAGTGCTAGAATCCATCTCTGTGGTAAAATAAAAAAACATGGTTTATGAAATTGTATTTAAATGCATTGGATCAAAAATGACAAGTACTATATACAATACAGTGTAATTTTGGACAAAGTTAAAAGAACAGAATAGTATCTGCTGAGCACCTGTCTAGAGGCCCCATTGCTGGTTTCAATTCTGTTTATATTAACGCTCCCAAGTATTTTCTTTCTCCACAAATGATGTCATCTCTACTGTGTCACAAGGTGAGTATATTTGAGTGTCATTCCTGAGTTTTGTGATGTGGTGAATCCAGCACTCTGGGGAACAGGACTGGAGAATTGGGATCCCTTTTCAGAAACAAAGGCTATCACCCAAACTGGTCACCTGTTGCTCTGGCAGAGAGATGCTAAGACATTATTCACATTTGTTGCTCTCACCAAGTCTTGGACTTATAGCTTCAGTGTTTCAATATCTGTTCTTTGGTTGTTTTCTTTCCCCATTTTGAATCGAGGCGTTAACTTCTTGTAGTCCAATGACTACATCACTCATTTCTGCTTAAGTTTCATTTAAGTCACAAGAATGAAAACTTAATTATTTTTATTCTCTTCCCCCTCCCCTGTTTTTTTTTTTTTTTTTTTTTTTAACAATACAGGGCAATCTAGAGCAGCCATGATACCTCCCAAGCATCCACGGCAGCCAAAGGGAGCTTTGGATGATGCCATTACCTTTGGGGGTAAAACTGACCAAGAAGCACCTAATTCTTCCCAACCCACACCTCCCCCACTGCCAAAGAAAATGATCATAAGAGCCAACACAGAGCCAATCTCCAAAGACCTCCAGAAATCCCTAGAAAGTAGTCTTTGTGTCATGGCTAATCCCACCTATGATATCGACCCCAACTGGGATGCCAGCAGTGCTGGCTCTTCCATCAGCTCTGAACTCAAGGGACTGGACATTGAGTCTTATGACTCCCTGGAAAGACCTTTGCACAAGGAGAGACCTGTCCCTTCGGCAGCAAACAGCATCTCCAGCTTAACCACTCTCAGTATTAAAGACAAATTTTCCAACAGCACGGAGTCCCTGTCCAGCCGGCGTGGTCCCTCTTGCAGACAGGGCCGAAGCATCCAGAAGCCACAGAGGCAAGCACTTTATCGAGGACTTGAGAATCGGGAGGAAGTGGTGGGTAAAATCCGAAGCCTTTATACAGATGCCTTGAAGAAACTGGCTCTTAAATGTGAAGACCTCTTCATGGCTGGGCAGAAAGACCAACTCCGTTTTGGGGTGGACAGCTGGTCAGACTTCAGGCTAACTAGCGACAAGCCATGTTGTGAGGCAGGTGATGCAGTTTACTACACAGCTTCATATGCAAAAGATCCACTCAATAACTATGCAGTCAAGGTAAGAAAATAATGTAAATCTGATTTTAATCTTAATATAACAGACTGTTCATTGGGCTGGGTCTATTCTTTTATATATATATATATTTTTTTTTTTTCCCATACAAAAATTTATACATATGTTATTATGTGACTCCAGTTGCTCTCCCCATATGGGTCTGTTCTTCTTTCCTCCTTTTTTTCCTCTATTCATCAAAAAGTCTTTGAACATCTGCCTTAAACCAGATACTTAATAAACAGGGGCCTTATTATCTAGAGGAGAAGACAGATATGTAAAGAGACAGAATTACAACCCAGTATATTGAGCACTAAGTTAGAGATAAATAGAATTCTGTGGAAGCTTGGAAGGACCTTAACCCAGACTCTAGAAGTCAGAGAAGTCTTCTTTAAGTAATTCTTGAACTGCAGCTCTCTTCGAAGGCTAGCTATAATAATGAGGTCTATTATATACCTTCCACTTCATGTTTCTGTCTTTATTCTCTACCAAATAAGAGATCTTTGTTTACCCCCACTACTTATCTACTCCTCTACTTTCTGGAGAAACATAGAGGAAGATAACTAATATTTGTTGATGTGCCCGGACCTTTACATATGTTATATAATGTAATTGTCACATTAACTTTATGAGATTAAGATCTTTTTGTCCATGTGACAGATGAGGAAAATGAAGCTCGGAGTGGAGAGCTGACTTCCTTAGGGTTGGTCACACAGCTGCCAACTAGTAGAACTGGAATTTAAACTCAGTTCTCTCTGACCCATGGCCTACACTTTGTCCATCATGTCACTTACTATTTCTTATATGTACATCGCCACAGAGTCAAGCATTTTATCGAGGACTTGAGAATCAGGAGATATCAGGCAATCCATTGCTTCAAAAGTAACAGTTACATTCACTGTAACAGCAAAGTACATCCGACTTTGAAGCTGGAAAGGTCTGGGTTCAAATTCTGACTCTGCCACTTGGTAGCTTTGTCACAAGTTGCTTCTCTGAGTCTCAATTTCCTCAGCTTTAAAAGAGGATGATAATGGTACCCATCTCACAGGGCTGTTGTTTGGTTAAAGGATAACAAAGTACAAATGTTCCCAACACAGTGCCTCTGGTAAATGTTCATTTTTTTCACTACCCCTTAGCTTCTTCCCTAGGTCACTTTAAGAGAGTAACAATCCTTGAGCCTCAATTCCTCCTCTTTCAGATGTTTGGAAACCCTGGTGGCGTAGTGGTTAAGTCTACAACTGCTAACGATAAAAGTTGGCAGTTCGAATCCACCAGGTGCTCCTTAGAAACTCTATAGGGCAGTTCTACTCTGTCCTATAGGGTCACTATGAGTCGGAATTGACTCGACGGCAACAGGCAGGCTTCAGATGTTTATGATGATGATCCATCTTCTTTTATAGGATTGAGATGAGGATCTACTGAGATAAAATACATGTGAAAGGGTTTTGGAAAACACGAAAGCTCTATATAATCTAAAGTAATGTTCTCCATTCCTGTAGTCCCTTTTTACTGATTCTATTCACTGGTTCAAAACCAATTAACATATCTAAATGACTTTTACGTGTTAATTTGGCTTAGTAAGACCAGATGGTGTTTTAGTAAATTAATGGATAAGGTAAAAGATTGACCTAACCTGTCTGTCAAGATGGAATGTATGTTTGGGCCAGATCTTCAGCTAGCTACTCTCTGCAGTTGCAGCACATACACCACTTGATTGTCTGGTGGCACCGGCAAAGTGACCTCACGCTCCAGCCTACACTTTTTAAATTAAACTGAGCGGCAGACTGCAGAGAGGGGATCCAGATTCAGAGTTAATACATCACTATCGACTCTAAAAAGGCATTTTGAAATTGTGTGTAGCTCTCAAGAGCTGTTGTGTCAATTGGGGTTATGGTGCTTCATCTGTCTTGCGTCTTTATGGCTACAAGATCACCAATGCAGGATGAGTACCTATTTCAGAAAGAGGCATTGAACTATTTGTTCTTTGAAAACAATTGAGAAGTAGGGCTTGACTAACTTTATGTATTATTGCCTTGCAATCTTGTCTCTTCCCCAAATCAATGGTCTGGTATTGATTTCTTTGCTTGTAATGATGCAAAAGCAATCTCCAAAGAACAGGTGGCAAGTGATGATATACTGGGAGTTGTTGGCAGGTTTGGGAAAGGATGTTTTACACTAAATGCTGAATATAAATGTCTCTTTGAAGACCTTCTGGGCATTTCCAGAAGTACCCAATTGATTGTACAACCTTCGAGGAATAAACTACTAGGACATTGTGAACCCTACCTTTGCAGAGATAAGCAAAAGAGACCAGCAATTGACCCAAACAATTTTTACTGTCTTCTTAAAAGATCCCTTCCCATACTAATGGAATTTAGAGCAGGCTAACAGGTATGACTGTCTCTGAAGAGACTAAAAGGTCTTTAAAGTGTTGCAAAAGGAAGCCAGTGAGAGAATTTAGCAATTTGAAAGTCAAAGTATACTATTTAATTAACAGATCTCCTCCAGTGACAGAGATCTTTACTTTGGGTGTTGAGTTGTCTTTGCTACAAAATAGATACTAGTTGGTTTCAGCTTAGGACTTTTACTAGGTTTGGGGGTTTCTTCTTTCATATTTAATCCACTTTTCATTCAGTGTGAATAGCTTTATTATTTTTATTGTTCTTAAACCAAAAGGCATCACAATACAGAACAAAGAGAAGTAGATTTGGAGTCAGCTAACATGGGTCCAAGTTCTAAATCTATTGCTGTGTATTCTTAAGTCATGTAACCTCTCTTGGTTTTCACATCAATAGATACTACTAACTACCTTACCTACCTCATGAGACTGTTACAATCCATATGTGTTTATGTAGTGTAACTGCTTTATAAACTTTAAAGTATATATAAAAATATAGTAAAGTAATACATTATTGTTATTAGCAATAATGGAAAATTAGTGCTCAGCATTCTGTAGATCACCCACTATTATTCTTCTTTAATATTAGGCACTAGCCTGAACATATTTAGATAGATTCTGAACTTAGATATTTTCTTCCTCATTCCTTTGAAGACATAAACATCTTCTTTCTTTAAAATCTATGAGAGAAAGCTACAAATGCCAACAGCCTCAAAATTTAAGTACTGCCAAAAATTGCAAACAACCTAAATGTCTGATATTAAGGAAACTGTTTAACAAATTATGGCACATCAGCCCAATGGAATGTTTTGCAGCCATTAAAAATGATAATTACAAAAATTATGGAAAACATTTTTTGTAAGATGTAACATGAAAATAGCAGAATACCAAATAGTATGATCATAACTTTAACAGAATTGGCCTACAAAATGGTAATATGCAAATAATTGCTATGTTAGAGTGGTAATATTATAGGTTATTTTGATTTTGACAAAAAAAAAAAGATGCTATATCTTTTTAATGAAAAAAAAATGAGAGCATTAGAAGTATTGGATCATTTGATACTAAACTTCGTGGAGGCAGGTACCCTGAGTTATTCATCTGTATATTCCCATTCTCTAGCATAAATTATAAATCGCTTCGGCTTCATGCTGCCTGTCTTTGCACATACTGTTTCTTCTGTCTGGACTGCTCTTCTGGGAGACAGTATGATACAGTGAAGAATTTCTGCATTGTGATCTGCAGGTGACCTATTGCAAGTTCACCTGAGGGGTCCTCATTTAAAAAATGTGGATTTTTGATCTAGACCAGACCTACAGAATCATATAATCTCTGGGAGTGGGGCCTAGGAAACTACATTTGTAACAAGCACCCCCCGCCCCAGGTGGTTCCCACACACAAAATTTGAGGACTGCTGACATAATAATTAAGAATTTGGGCTTTTAAGTTAGACAGACCTGGGTTCAAATTTGTGCTTTGGCAACTTATTAGCTATGTTACCTTGGCCTTTTTCTCAGCCCAGTATCTTTATCTGTAAAACGGAGGAAAATACTTCATTTTCTTAAAGCTGATGTGAAAATTCCCATGAGATAATATGTACATAAAGATGTATATGATACTCAGAGCATCATTTGGCACAAAGTAAGTGTTCAGTAAATGGATGCTCCTCCATTCTCTTCTCATGTGCCTAGAACGCGCCTGTGTGTCCTTAAAGAACACCAAGCTCTCTGAACTTTCTTCTCTGATCTTCTGAGAACATGGTGATGGCTTCTCCCTGTATGCCCACACTATACCTAATGGATTTCTCTATGACAGTACTTATTGTGCTATACTAAAAAAAACCCAAACCCATTGCCATCAAGTTGATTCCAACTCATAGTGACCCTATAGGACAAAGTAGAAGTGCCCCATAGAGTTTCCAAGGAGCGGCTGGTGGATCCGAACTGCCAACTTTTGGTTAGCAGCCGAGCTCTTAACCTCTGCTATAGTTACACAGTTATACACTGTTGTCATTACACAGAGGAGCAGAGTGGTGCAGCGGAACTGTGCTGGGCCTCTAACCCAGAGGTCGATGGATCAGAATCATCCTGTGCTAGTTTTGGATCCCTGGTGGCACAGTGGTTAGGAGCTCGGCTGTTAACCAAAAGGTCGGCAGTTTGAATCCACCAGCCACTCCATGGAAACCCTATGGGGCAGTTCTACTCTGTCCTATAGGGTTGCTATGAGTTGGAGTCAACTCAGCAGCAATGAGTTTTTGTTTTTTGATTTTTTTATAGTGACGCAATTATATAGCACTCTAGTTACACAACTACAGGAACATGTCTCCCCTCCCCATTATTACACTTGAGCGGCTACATGGCAGGGACCATGGCTAATATAATCTTTATCCTTAGCATCTAGTACAGTATCACTTATAGTGGGCATTCAATAAATATTTCTTGACCTTTCAACAAACGCTTACTATATAAAATATTGTGATATCTGTGTGGGCTTACAGAAATACAAATGAATAATACAGAAGCCTTGCCCTCAAGGAGCTTATATTTCAGTTGGAAAGACATACAAAGGCATAAATCACTCTTAAGCAAGACAGATTATAATGAAGGTT